GAAATCCAGAATAGCAGGATCAGGGAGCAGCAGGAGCTGCAGAGCTGATGGATGCCCAAGGTGCAGCAGAACACAGGGAAAATGAAGAAAGGAGACAATACCAAAGCCATTTTTCTTGCTGCAGCTTTGTTCCCAGCAGGGGCCTGGGGAGTGCCTTTTTCAGCTACCTAAACACAGCTCAAACCAACAAGTCAATAAAAGGGGTAAATACCAAATGGCAACAGAAATGTGTCTGTGCTACCAGAGAGGGCACAGCTGGCAGCTCCTCTGAAAGCTCATCCAGCTCTGGAGAGGCTGCAAGGAGCCATAACAGCAAGCAGGGATTCTGTTGTTTGCTGGTTTGGCTTTTTCCAAAGGAGTGATTCTGTCTCAACTTTGTGTTTCCTGCAGTTGAAATTAGTGAAAAAAAGACCAGCAAGAACATTGATAGAGTGGATCACCTGCCTGGGTTTCTGTGAGCCCTTCCAGGAGGCTCCTCACTGACAGCTCACAGCATCCAAGGGTGAGTAAAGACAGGAGAAAGGTGTTGGAAAGATGGGAATCCTGTGGGAGACTGCCCTGAGCCTGTGCTGTCACAGCATCTGAAATAATCTGAGGGCAAGGGGGAGGTCGTGGGGCTGGCTGGGGGCACTCAATCACTGAGAACAGCTAAATGAGGGCAAAGCAGAGCAAATGGAACTCCCCAGCAGGGCAGGGAGTCCCACTGAGAAAGGGCAGAGCTCACAGGAACTGATGGGCCCCAAACCATCCCTTCCTCTCTCAACAGGGATCTTAACAGACCTCATTCATCAACAAGGACATGGAGAACTGGGAGAGGCTTAAAGGGCAAAACCCATCCCCTGTGACTGACTGCCCTGGGAGGATGGGCCAACAAACTCAGCTTCCCCAGGCTAGGAAAGAAATGCCAGAGATGATGGCAAAAAACCTGGAGATGATGTAGTGGAAGACAAAGAAAAATGTGTTTTGCCATTTAAAAACAAAGAGGTGAGAGGTGTAATCTAAAATGGAAAAGGGAGGAGGGAGGGAAGCAGGGAGGAAGGAGCTCTTGAGTATCTGAGCTGTGGAATTCTCTGTTGATTGAAAAACCAAGAAGGCCACACAAAAACCCTGTCAAGAACACCAGGAGGGTCCTGGGCTGTTCCTGAAGAATGGGAGCATGTCAAGTTATCAGCACACATTTGTCCTATGCTGGGCTCTCACTTGGGCATTCACCACAGTCCAGTGGCTTGGGAGACACATCAGGACTGGAATGGACCTTCTGATACTCTTCCCTTCACAATCAGTTTGTTGAGATTGATTCTCTCCACAATTTGAAAACTGAGGCATTCGTGGACTGTGTCTGTCACTGCCCTTGATCCCTCCAAGGTATAATATCAACAGAAAATCAATGGAAATTGGAGAGGCTGAGGATACAAATGGTGATCTTGGGAAGGGCCACTAGAACAGATTACACCTGCACATCCAGATTAGCATCAGACAAACCCAGGCTCCAGGAACACAAAATTCTGCTGGTGGAAGTGTTTATCAGCATTGCCCTGGCTCGTTTGGCCTTGGCCAGGACAAGGGCAGTGATTCCTCCACGCTGGCAGCCAGGAGCAGGGTACACAAAGTAGGACACGACTATTTAGGGCACCACAGCCCCCCAGAGCTTCTCTACATGGAGCCTGAGTGCAGCAGCTCTGCAGGGAGCAGTGGAGCATGAACATGAGGGATGGGAGCTGTTCCCAACACATGCACTTTAACTCTTTGGGAACAGCTCCCATCTGGGTGGAACTTTACAGGATCTGCATGGAGCCACTGCATGAGGTGGAATCAAACCCTTTGTTTGAATCCAAGTTAGAAATGCCTGGCTCAGAAGGCTCAGGCTTCCCACAGCAGTTCTGGGTGGGACTGAAGAAGAGCTCTGGGATGTCTGCAGAGATGCGATGGGGAGGAAAGATAATAATTATGCTGAGAGGTTTATGGGTCAATGTTTTCAAGGTTCTATTGATTTAACTAGAAATTAGCAAGGCAGGCAGATCCATCAGCCCCTCCATAACCATTATTTATAGCAGGATTCCTTGCCTCCCTCTCAGCCTGTGCAGGCAGTTTGTGACAACGCCACCTCCTGCTGAGGAACGCTGCAGCTGGCACTGCTGCCCTTTAATGTCTCCTTGCTGGGAGGGGACTCCCAAAGGCAAGGACTTGAGCAGATTTTATTTTTAAATGTTCATTTTAGAGCCTCCCATAGCACCTCCTGAAATTCCATCCCCTTCTGCCACTGCAGTAAAGCACCACCTGCTCCCTCTGTGGCAGGGCCCCTTCCCCTGGGCAGATGTGGGAGCAAGGACAGAACAGAAACCAAACTCCTCTCTGACATCCACTGACCACATAGCTCCAGAGACTAAACCACTCCCCAGCATTCTCCTGCAGAGGATCCCAGACTCCATCCCACTGCAGGAAGCAGTTTGTACTCAAACAGGAACCCAGGCCAGGCCTCACATTTATTTTCATGTGAGTTTTCTCAGAATGTTCCATGTCGCTGCTCAGGCACGTGAAATCTGGGCCAAAACTGGAATCAAGCCCCCTGTCCCCCTCCCTGAGCTCAGGTGCACCTGGCAGGTGTGCATCAGCTGTGCTGCAGCAGAAGGGCATTAAAGGAAAATTATTATCTGGCAGGAGAAAGTGGTTTTGGTTTACTTTCATCCTGGCCTCTCCTCAGACAGCCCCAGCCAGATCCATTGTTTATCCCAGGCCTCCCAGAGGCAGCCTTTAGCACATATCTTACACAACCAGGCTAATTTGGTACTTCTGACCTACATAAAATATTGTGCTGGGGTGGGAGGGAGCAGGGGGGACCAGCACTCTGAGCCATGCATTTTAGACAACGTTTCTGAGTACAGACACAGCAAACTAAAGGCCCTGATTTGATTACTCCGTGTGAAAGATTCTCAAATTAATCAGGCTGGTGACCATTTTGCAATCTGCTGCCAAGTGAGGAATAAATGAAGCCTTTTAATTCTCCCATTGTAGCCCAGACAAAGGCAGGCAGGGGCCTGGGTGCTCTGAGGTGCAGAGGGAGACGAGCACGTTGTGCAGCCAATGAGGATGAAAAAAGCCCAAATCACAGCGCTGTAATAATGCAGGAGTGTGAATAATTTCACTGTCACTATGTATTAGAGCAGCCTGGGAAGAACAACACGTGGGCCGAGGCGGCTGTATCGATTGGTTCCAGATGACATCATGATCTGTCAAGGCACGAGCTCCGGCTCCTTTTATCCCGGAATAAAAGGGATGAGGCACTGGATGGGCTGGAGCTCCCTCTGCCGGGTTTTTCTGCGGCTGGAGCTGCTCTGAGCTCCTCATCCCACACTCAGTCGCAGTGAATCCAATAAACCCCCCTCCTGAAGCCCTTTTCCTCATTCCCTTCCACCTCAGAAGGTGGGGAAGGGACAGCAGAGGACAGCAGGGTCTGTGGGTTACCTTCCTGCTGGAGAAGTGAGCGTGCTTGCCCAGTTTGCTGTTGAGGGCCTCGAGGAACATCTCATCGGTGACTTTGCCCACGTTCATGCAGGCATCGTCCAGAATGGCAATGATCCCTTTGTGCTGCTGCTCCACCAGGTCCACGATGACCTGGTTGTTGAAATAATCAATCTGCAGGAAACAAAGGACAGGGCTGTTGGTGACCTTGGCTGCAGAAATGGGAAGGTACCAGTGCTGGCCATAGCAGCCAGTGTGAGGAGCAATCAGCTCTGAATGTGCAGATCTCTGATTCCAGACAAAGCAGGCTGCTCTCCTGCACTGAACAGCACAGAAAGTGATTTTTCAAACCCCTCAGATACATCTCAAGATCTCTACTGCAGAATGCTGTTTAAAATGTCCTTTACAATTCAGCTGTGTGCAGTCACCACAGTGACACTGCACATCCTGTCCTTGGCATTCTGAAGCCAGCATGAACAGGAAAAGTCAAGGTTTTTACAAATTACCATCAACAACCAGAAAAATCTGTAAGCACTCAGCACAGAAACCCAGAGTTACGTGTGTGGCATCACAGAGGAGCCACAAAAGGTTTCATGTCAGACCTGGAGTCCCATATTTTCCCAAGGAGACACGTGGTGAGGTGATTGGGGAGCTCCTGGCAGGACAGCTGGCAGGGACACACATGTCCCATCAAGTGGAGCCTCATGTGGAACAGCTTCAGGTCCAGCACTTGTGCTGGTACACTGACCTCACAGCACCTCACTGCCCTGCCAAAGCACTCACATGCTTCCAGGGAATTCCCTCTCGCTGGTACTCCTCCTGCTCCTGCTTCAGAACCAGCTGAATGAAGAGCTGCTGCAGCTTTTCATTGCAGTAATTAATGCAGAATTGTTCAAAGCTGCGAAAACACGAGAAGAAAAGGTGATGAGTGCTCTGGGAAAGGCAAGGGCACAACACTGGGCTTTGGAAGGTGGCTCACCTGTTATTGTCAAATATCTCAAAGCCATAGATGTCCAGGACCCCGATGACTGTGTTCTTGCCATGCACCGTGGTGTCGTAGTTCTTCACCTCGATGACATCGTTGATGTGTGTCACAATCCAGCAGAAGAGACGCTCGTAAATGGCCTGCAGGAAACACAGACTGAGGGCTCCTGCCTGCCCCTGCCTCAGCTCTCCCCAGGAAATGCCACCCAGCTCATCCCAGGCCTCCATCAAAGCTGCAGGTCATGGTCGTGACAGTGAGCAGCTACTGACTGAAGCAAATATTCTATGGAAGTATTTGTTTTCTTTCTTCCAAAACTCATTTATACCAAGTTGAAATCCCACTGAGGTCACTGGGAGCAGCAGTTCCCTGATTTGATTCCAGTCAGCTTTTCAGCTGCCTAATAAGCACCATTCCTGAGAATTATTTAACAATAGTGAAGAGCAAGAGAGAGGTCAGTCACAGAAACTTAACAACTGAACACAATGACAGGAGAATAATCCTGTTCACCTTTCACAAAGATAATGTTCTGTAGGCAGAGGTGTCTTCAAAGTCTTCATGTTCAAAATGTGCTGTGAAGCTGGGTAAATACATTATCTCAGGAAAAGAAGTCAAGTTAATTATCAATGACCTTCATAACTTCAACCATTCCTCCCTTATAATTTGATTTCTTACAGAGGAGGAACAATTGTCACTCCTGCCATCAGGACTCACTTTTCCTGTGGAAGGTGTCCCTGCCCATGGCAGGGGGTTGGAACAGGATGGTCTTCAAGGTCCCTTCAACCCAAAC